TCTTTTTTTTTTTTTTTCAAGGATTGTATATAAATTGTGTACATTGCAGATGGTCGAAGATAAAGAACCTGGTTATTGGGATGATAGAAGCGAACTATGTTCTTTAAAAGTAATTTCTGCTTTCTTACATCTTCTATATCATGGCTCAAAGATTCAACATTGAAAATCTATATTCCTCAAATGAGCAATGAAATGCCTTGGCAGATCTTTGGGGTTAAAACACTGGTCAAGAGCTATTTACCTGTCAAGGATGCCCATCTTCGTTCTGGAATTGATAAGCTAATTGAAATCCTCAAGAATATACTATCTTTTGGTGAAATCTCAAGAGAGATCAAATCAAGGTATAAGGCTCTATCCAAAAAGTTGTTCAAGGAACTTACAGTTATGGAATTTTCATTTCTTATTTGGGATTTGCTTCAGAGTGGTACTGATATGTTTTCTTCACTCAACTCCAGTTTGATTGATAAAGCTCATATGAAGCTTGCTGCAGCAAAAGCTATTCTTCGCTTATCAAAGCATTGGGAGCACAAAATTCCAATTGATGTCTTTTATCTTACACTGAGAACTTCGGAGGTAGTGTACTTGACTAGGAGTACGTGGTTTGTGAATTTCTCAATCCTATTATGTTATAACAGATCATGGACATGTTTTACTTTTCTCTCTACCATTGTTTATAGGACAATTTTCCTGATGTAAAGAGAACATTATTCAACAAGATTCATCAGTATGTAAAGGATCGAAATTTAGATCCTAAATTTGCTTGTACCTTCCTACTAGATATTTCATCTCAGCAGTCAGATTTGGAAGAGGTAAAGGGCCCTTCAGAGTGGATTTATACTCCATCCTTTGCTACATTTGCTGATGGAAGTTCAATTTTATTTATAACTGATTACGAAGTCCATTTGTCCTGAATTGTTGGGCAGAACAAGCGGAACTTGAATGACATCATCCAGATGTTTCGACAAGGAAGGGGACAGCATTATTCTTCACAGGCTGATCCGAATTCTCCGTCACTTTATCCAGAACACTTGCTTCTACATGTGGTCCACTCCCTTGCTCATCATCCTTCATTTCCCAATATTGATGAATGCAAAGATGCAAAAGCATATGAAGCTATGTACAGGTATTTTGTATTGACTAAATTATACCCAAATGAATATTGCAATCAAGAAAAGTTCATGAAGTTATGATCTTGATTGAGGTATCCTAATATAGTTAATATTTCAGTGTTTGTACTTGCTCGTGTATTTCTGGTAGAGTGTTGTTCGATAGAGATGAAACACACCATTAGGCATTAGAGGGTGAGGCTAGGTGCCACCTCCATCTCAAAACCAATTGATAATGGTAGGAGTAGCCTACTAGGCTTATAAACTAGACTCATTTTCCCTATTTATTCAATGTGGGACAACTTACAAGTGATATTCCAACATGCCTCCTCGCTTGTGAATCTTTCTCTAACTGTCCTCGATCAAGGTCCATTAGCAGGCATTACAGGTTCTAGATCAGGCAACTCTGATACCATGTTGGAGTTATAGATACGGGGGAAGAGGTGCGGTCCCATAGAGATGAAGCACACCATTAGAGAGTGAGGCTAGGTGCCACCTAAATGAGGTTTCATCCCAAAACCAATTGGTAATATGAGGAGTAGCCCACTCGGCTTATAAACTAGACTCACTTTCCTTATTTATTTAATTTAGGACAATTCACAAGTGATATTCCAACAATTTCATCTGAGCTTACCTTTTATTTCGGATAATATACATAAAAAATATAATGCTTTCTAACTTATATTTACTGTTACAATCTTGAGAACCAAATTAATTATCATCTGGAGTTGGAATTTCAAGAATCCAGTTGCTTTCTTATTGCTCACATCCTTTGGTAGAAAATATCAGGATCTTCTTCTCACATGCCACAAGCTTTAAAATGATGACAACTAATAATGATTAAACATGACAGTAATTAGTTACCATCTTGAGTTGGAATTTGAAGGATCCAGTTGCTTACTAATTGTTCACATTTCTTTGGTAGAAGATATCTATATAGCATTTTACTTATATTTTACTTTGGCTTTTTTCCTGATGCTTCACTTGAGAAAATTGGTATTATGGAATTCATAGTGGAAAAGAATTGCCCGATAGAGAACTTGTTGGCACAGTTTTCACTGTAGACTACGTGCATTCTTTATCTGAAAAGATATATCTGACCTCTATCAGTGCCAATGGATTAAAATTTACACTTGGTACAAGCATGATACATTGATACCTTACCAATGTGAAGCAAGAATCAGTACATATTTCTTGCATGACCTCTTGTTGGGCATACACGTCAAACTGATGCTACTGCATGAAGTTTCTTCACTGCATTTGTTTTGGTACATGTCTATCTGTCTCAGGCAGCTGTATCTATTCCTGTCTATGCTGCTGGATGGGGAAGCAGATGGCAATAATGTCAGGGTTACCAAGGACAAAGGGACTGTTTCATTATTGTATTCTATTTTCTTATGCATCAAGCATTCCGAAGATGTTTTCGATTCAACTAAGTCCAAGGTTTGATATAACTGTCTAGGATTTGTCTTTTTATACTCAGCTATTTTCCTGGGTAATTTTAAATTTTTGCCAAGCCAGAAATCTGCGTGCACATAGCAAACCACTGCAGATGGTTTTTCCTCTAAAGACAATGAATGGCTTAGTCTGTTCGTGAAGTTGATGTCTAGTTTAATGTCATGTAATTACGTTGCAATGGTATTACAGAATTCATATGCTCTATGCGATCTTGGTTTATCAATTCTGAAAAGATTAGCTCCAAAACAAGTTGATCCTCAAGACTCAAGCGCGTCTGTGATCCTACCGTCTATGCTTTATAAACCACTTGAAAAGAAAGAAGATGATGAGTTGCCGGTATGCATAATTGAACTCTCAATATCTTTGCATGAATCTTCATTTGTCTTTATATCATGATGCTTGACAATAGGAGGAGTTGTCCGCTGTTCTGTTTGGATTTGTTTCTAGCTGATATTTGTTGTGAGAAAGAAGTCATGTGCAAGTAAAATGCTATTTCCATTGGTTATCTAAAAAGCTGCAACAATGTGTGGTCATTGAACTTCGTTGTTTGCTATATTCTTTTTTGGTTTGATGATAGTCAATTTTTAACTTTTCTAACTGAGGTATTTTTTGGACTATTGTTAGTATGATCCAAGCATGATCAATTGAGTATTTTTAACTTTATTCCTATAGGCATGTCAGTGAAATTGCCTGTCAATCTTTTAATGTTCTCATTGTGCTTAGTTGTCTTCACATGCTAGCCACCTCTACATATTTCTGCTAGCCAATCTATCCGTTTTCATCTCCTCCTCCTCTAAGGTTCCACTTCGCCTACTTGATTGACCCCTTCAGTGCTTTAATAAAAAAATACCGATCTATCATATAATACTTTATCTGCATGTGGCCTAAGATGTAGTTATTTTGCCAGGAATAACTAGCAGAGAGTGGTTTGGTGCCCATATGATTAAACTTTATTGTATTGCCTTCTTTTTTCTAGTTTTTTGATCATAAAAGGGACTGCTGAATTCATGTTCTCTTGGACTTGGAGTAATGTAGAACTGAAATTTTGTTTTGTGTGCTGGGAGCTAATGAAATGCTGGACATGTGTAGATGACTAAAGTGGTCCAAGGGCAACCTTCTAACGATTTATATCGAAGTCTAATTACATTTATTACATTACAGTGCAAGGATCATTTACTTGCTTCATCTCATCAAAAACATTATCTGATTTTGCACGTTTTTTCCTTTGAACTAGGTTGGTCAAGAGAAGACATGGTTGGCAGATGATTGTGTCTTGGCCCATTTTCAGTCACTTGAATTGGAAGCTAATGAAATTGTAAGATTAAAGATAATTTAACCTCATCCGGTAAGTTATATGTCGGTGTCTCATAATGCAATTTAATCATATGCATTTTACCAGCTCCAGGTAAACTCAGTTATTGAGGATGACATCTTGAAGGAAAGTGAAACAGAGCCTTTAGCAAAGTTAATGAAACGACTAAAAGCTAAAGCAGCAAAGGCAAGAAAAGAGGTGAAGAATGAGCCTGCACCTGCTGTAGGGGCAAATGCAAATGAATTTGATATATTAGAGATGGTGAAGGAAATAAATTCTGATAATCTCGGTACAAACATCAAGCCTGGGTCAAGTAATGGACTTGAGCAGGTTCATGAAAAGGAAACGAGTAGCAATAAGCTTCAGAAAAGGAAATCACTGTTTAGTAAATCAATGGATGTTCCTGTGCCAAAACGTAAGAGAACAGCATCTACTCACTCTCGCAAGCCTCTTCAATCAAGCCCTTCAAAGGGCTCTGGGAGGCCTACTAAAATAAATTTAGAGAATACTGATGTTGGCACTGAGAAAATTGATGAAGAGCTTCCAACTAAATCAAAACAGCAACCTATAAAAGAAAAAATAGCTAAATCGGCAGAGTCCGACTTGGTAGTTTCACGTGTTGGAAAGAAATCAAGTGTATCCTCTAAGCAGAAGGGCAAACAATCTGACAGAGATCAGATGAGATCATTCAAAGACTCCTCGACTGCTAAGGTGTGTTTATCTTGTGATGAAGATTGTGGATTCTGAATGATGTTTTGTGAGATGTGCTTTCCTGAACTTCTCTTTTTTGTACAGAAGTCAAAAAAAGTCGTAGAAACTGAAAAAAAACATTCCAGCTCTGGTAAGGTGGTACATTTGAAGAAGCAAAAGCAGAACAAAGTAATATCAAAGGTTAGTGTTATACCTTTCTTATAATTACTTGCAATATAGTTGATCTTGTGAATGCAGACATGGTACTCAATATATGCATGGACTTTTTGAGGATGACTACTTAATGTAGCTTCTGCAGCTCTACTTCAGTGATATTTTGTTATTATTTATCATAAATGTCTGCGGATCTTCTGTTCCACCATATTTTACTGGTCTCTTTTTGCACGTTGTTTGGTTTTAGTGCACAACCAAGGAAAATGGAAACTCCTCCCGTGACTTAATTGACCAGCGAGTAAAAATTTGGTGGCCCCTTGACAAACAGTAAGTGTTTCTTGACGTGGTCTGTTATAATTATGATGGTGGAAACATTATAACAGAATGCCATTTAGATACGAAAACCTTTATCCATGTGGCAACATTTCCTTTGGTTCTTTCATATTTGAAATAATTTGGCCCCAAGGCTTGCAGACATTGTGGCTGCGCATCACCATGCTTATGTTGTAGAAACATAAGTATGAAAATGTGAGATAAAAAAGAAGGGAACTCAAATTTTGTAGATCAGTGGGTGATGTAGTATTGATCCTTTCTCCATGTCTTTTCATGTATCTATGCCTGCAAGGGCCTTCCAATTTCATGTACAAATTCACACACTTCCCACATTGCCATATCCCTCTAGGTATCTCATACATCAGTATAAAGTTGCAACTTGTATATTTTATGCCACAATGTGCATTGTCATACCCAATGATAACATAATTTATATGGTGTTCCTGGATGATTTCTTGTAATTCTATAAATTCATGATACCATGCTATATCCTTTTGACGTTACACAGGTTTTATGAAGGTGTTGTGAAGTCCTTTGATTCGGAGAAAAAAATGCATGTGGTAAGATACATCTTGTTTGTCTTGTTTTCGCACTATACTTCCTGCCATTGATTTCTTAGTCAATCTTGTTCTTCAAAATCTCAATTCAGACTTCTTCTTTTTTCTTCCCTTTCTTTTCCTGCTCTGAAGATTATTCTGCTGTTGATAGATATCATATGATGATGGAGAGGTTGAAGTTCTTTGTTTAGATAAAGAACGTTGGGAGCTTCTTGATAAAGGCAAAAAAACTGAGGTGGTCGAAATATTGCCTAATAATTGTACTTCTCTTACATATGCTTATTTTCATTTTAGCTAAAGTTTTGACAGTGTTGATACTTAATTTGCAGAAGTCTGATTTGCCGAAGGGCCTTCACCCTAAAGGAGGGTAAGTACTGCCTTTCACTAATATGTGCTTACCTGTTTGAAGTTTCATCAACCTTGCCACCTTTTACCCGTAAAAGAGAAAATTTGTATAGGTGCAACGTGAACCGAACTTGTCTCTATAAGTCTAAGAATGTATGCCAGAAGAATGCAGAATGGGAAAGTTCGGATAACACGAATAAAATCTGTACTACTGGTTGTAATCTTCCATGATTAAATTTCTTAAAATAGAAGTTTGCTTTCAATCATTGTGTAGCCTACATATTCCATTTTTCTGGCACATGTTGCTCTGGCCATTTTAATCAGGTTATTTCATTTGAGGATAACAAAGAAACTATAGGTGAATTTCTGATTGGTCAAGCATCTGCAGCACGGTTGTTTAAGTTTAAGATTTGAGATATTAGTGCACTGCCAATGAGTGTTTTTAAGGTTTCTGGAAAATACTTCTTAAGGTTCATGGTTGAGCTTGAGGTCGTCTGGGGAAAAGAACCTTACCGTATGTGGTTGTTGTGGTGAACATTAAATGAGGTATTCCTTGGTACAAAGTCATGTACCTAGTTTTACATGTGGAGAGAAAGGGAAGCGGTGAAAGAAAAAACCTGGGAGAGATTTGATAATGGGATGTATTCTAGTTTCTCTTGGTTTATGATTGAAGAAGAGTTTTAAAGATTGGAGGGTATACCGGACTGGTTTCCTACTAGGAAGAATGAAAAAGTAACTGATTCCATTTGTAATTGAGGTTTTAGGAGAAGACCACTCATGTAGCCCATCTAAGTTGCTTAAACTTTTGGAACAGTTGGAAATTGGAGTAGATAAGTCTGCCTTCTATGGTGGCAGTTACATGAAAACCCCATATATTTTTAGTTGAGGTCGACCACTAGCATTTTTTCTCGGTACTGTTGTTCTTAAAATAGAATAATTTTTACTCTAAAATGTCTACCAACTTCCTTTAGGCTGTATTTTGAATAGTTACATTCAAAATCAGTTATGTCACTTTTGGAAAACACTTTGCATATTCTAGTAATCTAGTTCAAGGAGCATATCTTTGTAAATGTTTAATTAAGCCACAATGTTCAACAGAAGCTTGTGCTTTGATTGACAAAAAGATAGAAGCATAGATCATTCTCATATACTTATTCTAGGAACGCTTGATTAGGGGCTCTTTTAAACTTAGAGATGCCACTACATAGAGCTGCCTGCCACGTTTCCATTTAAACCTTTAATGGTGTACAATGCGGAAGTAATAATGTGGTACGAAATTGAATGGTTTGAAATGTTCCCTGTAGCTGTAGGAGTAATTGAAGTGTTGTTAACACAAAGTAGTAACTTCCTTAACTCTTGATTGTTGGAATTGATTGTTAATCTAGACTTTACCTCGACATATACATGCCGTTCGGCTAAAACTTGGGTATCCTACTAATTTGACTGACTTCCAGATCATCGGGCAAGAAGAAAAAATCTACTGCAGGCTCCGAAAGAAATAAAGAACTTGAAGAGAAGTAAGCTGGGTTTTGCATTTTCAATGGACTTGGAAAATCTCGGTCCTTTCTGTTTTTAATTAACTAGCTTATAATATTACACCAGGTCCCCGTCGTCTAAAGCAAGAGGGAAAAGTACTCCACACAAAAGTGTAAAACTTAAGCAAAAGGAACAGTCAAAGAGTAAATCCACAGTGGGAAGCAGCGGACACCCAGGTGTCGCGCACCCCACTCTCAAAAAGTCTAAGCCCAATTATTTAGGCTCAGGTTAGACATCTGTTGCTACTTATTTATTCTGTTTTCTTTTTCCAAATTTCCTAAGCATAAGTAATAGACCATTCCAATATTTGATGTTTAGATTCAACAAATAGGTATACTGCTTAAAGCTGATACCTTCCATTGTCCAAAATCCCCCAAATTGATTCCATAATTGAGATAGTAGCATTTGGTGACCTACACTGCAGTTATCTTAATAATTTATTGGTACGCATTGTGTGGATTTTGTGAATCACAATTGCCTACTTTGTTCCTTGAACATCCAGGGAAAGATAAGAGTGGAAAGATCAGGAATAGTGGGCCCAAGGAGATATCGAGCTACGACGAGAAACTAACCAACAAAGATGACGACAAGGGGTCGCCTGAAGCAGAACTAAATAAAGAAGAGGAAAGTGATTCTGAGAATACGGAAAGTGACGATTTTGGTCGTGATGCCCGGAAATCCCATGATGGCGCTGATGACTCTTCTGATGAGATGGAGGTTGACAAGAAGGAAGAACTGGCTAATGAAGCTGAGGACACGAACAACCAACTAACATCTGAGGAAAAGAAGCCGTCTGATTCTGGCTCGCTAGATGCTGAAATTTCTGATGATGAGCTTCTGGTAATTTAGCTTCAGCCTTCTAATGTTTATGCAGAATGTTCTACATAATATTTTACACAAGACTTTTTCTTTTCAAAATAAACAAATAAATGCAGAGCACGTGGAAGAAACGTGCGGGGAAGAAATAAATAGGTGGGAACAGCCATCACTTATCAAGCTGCTAGATTTGGACAATGTGCAATTTGCAGCATGCTAATCAGTGCAAGACTTTAACTGTCGATGAGAGTATCATTCAACTTGTGGACCTGAATAAAGTTTCTGTATCCCTGCTGTAGATGGTAGAGTAAATAACTAAATATTGTACAAGGCTTTTGCCTTTGTCCTTGGTATAGTTGCCGAGATTCAGTTTGCAGTGGGTTTATATGTAGCTTTGGAGATTTGTGCATGATTTGCTGACTAAGATTTAGGTCCTAGTGTACAGCAGTGCGTCTATTATGCTTTGTAACCCAGCTTCTGGTTTGTATGTATGTTGTGAATTGTGATGGGATAGTTGTGATCAATATCTGATGAGTATGTTCTTCTTTCTAGTTCTGTAACAATAGTGATTTCACGCTCGTGGCAAATTATTTTCACAAATAATAAACAAGAATTAGATGTGTTTAAAAGCCCACAATAAAGGATCTAAGTTTTGAGTAGACTTGGAACGAGGGAAACTCGGAATGTTGACTTCCTCTAGTTTCGAGTAGATCAATATAATAGCAATTGTTTATGGTTAGAAATTCTCAGATTGAATAACTATACCATTTGCTGGAGTTATTCGACGAGAGTTCATGTTGTGTAACTGTCGTTTAGAGTTTGGTCGGATATTCTCGGAGTGTCGGTCTGCCTTCTGTTGTTTTTTGTGGGGTACGTTACGTTGTCACCGATCTTAAGAGGTGTTGAGTGAGGCTCTTGACGGTGATATGACGTGTGATGGTGGGGATGCCTTGGGGTTTTGGTTGACCTTGATGGTTGATCTCGAGAGATTTAGGTGACTCATCGAGATTTCCCCTGTCAGCCCCCAGCTCTTGTCCTGGCCCAGGTCGGTTGTCCGATCTCCAGATGGTCGTATCAAGAATAAGATCGTGACCGCCGTACGAGTAGACTGATTAATAGGTCGAATATAATATAAGGGTAAGACTGTGAAGAAGTCACAAAAAAATAACCTTCTCGGAGCCACCCTTAGATCGTCCGACTAGTCTGCAGCCGTTATTATTTTAGGACCGAATGCTCCACCATCTGAACGTTCTTGTTGTAGGTGAACTAGTCAATCCATACTCTTATTGAAGGCGGACAAATGTAGAAACGGCGAGATGGATTCAAGATTTATCTCTAGTATTACAACATGATTTAAAGGTGTAAGTGACGACTTTTTGAGAGGTGTAATGAGGTGAAAAATGATCATTTGGAGGGTCGACTGAGCCGCCTTTCCATTTTAGTAGAGTAACAAATAGAAGGGGTCATTCGGAGGTCCGACTACGGTTTGGCCAAACGACAACAAGCCTTTCCACTAGCGCCATTTTGTTACGGGTGTTTTTGTCAACAAGACTACGGAGTAGTAGTATGCTAATTGGGGGATGAGATTGTGTTGTGAGATGGTTGAAAACGGAAATAAAGACGGAGAAGAAAATAAGAACAACAAGTCAATCGATGACGTAGGTGTTGCGTGTCAATGCGCTAGCCAGGGGCTTATTAAGAGTTTTAGGCCGCTCTCCGACATCTTTATCGCAAGAGCCTTGAAGGCCATTTGAGCTAGGAAACTAGCGATAATTTCTAATAACCTCAATATCTGTGAATTTAGATGATATTTGATGTTCCTTTGCCCTATAGGGACCTTGCTATTTATAGAAGAGGAAGGTCTTTAAAATATATTATTTTCTGGACACGTGACAGACACTCCGAAGACAGTTACATGCAGAGCGATGTATGTCTCCACAACTTGCTCAAGTGACTTATCTCTTTGGGAGATGCGAAACGGTCCTGGACGACAATTATTTTCACACCAGATTTTTCGAAGATCTGTATGAAGGAAACTCCATTCGTTTTCAGCCGATGTAAGGAGGTAATTCTTTTGCTTTATGGTAATGCTGGTCTAATGCGTTTATGGCCCATAGTGAGATCGACAAGGAGGTAAGAATGGTAAAAAGGACGACGTCTTTGTTCAAGCCGATGTATATTTATGCCCTTGCTTTGGCGTCGTACTCTGGACTTCGATCCCTTGTTGTCAACATCATAGCTTTTTAATAGACTTAGTCCAAGTCCGGTTACTTCGTCTACAACAATTAACACATTGATGTACAATACATTTATTTATGTTATTATGTATATTTATATAATGCAACCCGATATAAAATAAAATAATTTTAAAATCAATATCTAGTTCACCAATTGATTCGACGACCCGACTCGATAACCCGGAATCGTGCCCGGTTCGATGCCAAGGCCGGGTTTAAAAACTGTAGTGCTGGGTACTAATATTTATTACTCCATGCCATCTCCTTCTACCGACTCTCTACCTTCGCGGCCCTTTTCTTCACACTCGATGTCGGGCACCATTTTGAAGTTGAGAGCAGAAGACCACCGGTTTAGTCATTCGGAACCGGGTGCAGATCCGGACCCGGAAAATGTAACAGCCGAGAAGCCTAAGAAAATGGCGGTGCTGGATTTAGGCAACGGTAGCGAGGTTCTGCACATGCCGCGATTCATTTCGTACCAAGATTCATGGAGGTATTTTGATTACCTGGATAAGAACATACCTTGGACCCGACCCACTATCCGCGTCTTTGCCCGGTCGCATGTTCAGGTACGATTCCTCTACTTCGTTTCCTTTCTATTGAAGATTGTTTTATGCGTCTTTGTTGTATACCTGTATTTTGTTTTCAATTTGTGCCAATTGGAAACAGTAGTTATCAAACCCTATTATCTGAACTCTATTTCGAAGTAGCTTGTTGTACCTGTGGGCATGTACTGAGGAAAAGGTTTATCTGGGTTGATTTCTGATCATGCTTTACAGATTGATTAGTTACCCACATATCTGTTCATTATATTCTTGATTTGTCTGGAGCAGCCCAGGGATATGTGCTATGTTGCGAACGAAGGATCGACTCAACTCGGTTACAGTGGGTTTCAACCTCATGCTTATTCCTGGGATGAATTTCCACCCTTGAAGGACATTCTTGATTTGGTGAGATTGCTTTCTGGGACATCGTTTCTTCTTTTATATTATTTTTGTGATGAGCTCATCACTAATGCTTCTGTGGTGTAACTCTAGGTCCACAGGGTTCTTCCTGGGAGCAGTTTCAATAGCTTGCTCTTAAATAGGTATAATGGAGGTGATGATTACGTGGGTTGGCATGCTGACGATGAGAAGCTTTACGGACCCACTCCTGAAATTGCTTCTGTTTCATTTGGATGTGAACGTGATTTTCTCTTGAAGAAGAAGCCATGTAAAGGTATCCAAGAGGACCTTTCTCTGTATACTGCTATGTGTGTTTTTTGAAGATTTGAGATCATCATTCATGGTGAATATCTTGTTTTTATTTGTGAATATGTGGTTTATTTGTTTTTATTGTTTTATACTGTAAGCATTTTGTTTTCACTTAAAAGGAGGAAGAAACAATATGAGATATGAACGTTTTGGTATAAAAAGGAGCAGCATCCGTTCGGGAGTGTGTGTGTGAAGTACGTGGTACTTTTGACACTAAAACTTCAAATTGCTTTCATGATACAAGTGGTTTCCCTGTTTGTACAAGTACTTAGCAGCCAACCGCAACTGGCGATTCTTTTGATTCACTGTTATGGAGAAGTTATTGAATGTCTAGATCATTACATATGTTACTTCTGTTTTAGTTGTTCAGTTTGTAAGATAAATATTATGCCCTTTGGAGTACTATGTAATACTGTAATGGCACACACTGTTTCTTAGGAGTCTCAATTAAGTTGATCAAGCATCGCTTGCTTATGCCCAGCTTCCCTTTCAATAAATTTTCCATTAGACGTGCTCTTGTTTAGGAAGTAGGGAGTGATTTTTGGACTATGCATTTCTTTCTTTTTTTCTTTTTTTTTTTTTCATCATAAATTATTCCTCAATGGTACATTTTAGATAGAGTGGAGACAACTACTAAAATGGGTAATAAGCTTCACTTCCCCAGATTGTACCGAAGGGTAGTTAAAAAAACTTGCCACTCACTCACAGGATGTAAAGTTTTGCTTACGCCAGAGTTATTACTGATATTTTATTTTATTTTTTCATTTATCCTCAGCAGTTAAGAAGTCAGCCACAGGAAACGAGGGCGAACCTCCCAGAAAACGATCAAAGAATGTGAACAATGGCGATCAACATGCGTTCTTGTTGAAGCACGGTTCCCTGCTGGTAATGAGGGGCTACACCCAAAGGGATTGGCTCCACTCAGTCCCGAAACGCGCGAAAGCACAGTCGGTACGGATTAATCTCACTTTCAGACGCATTTTGAGTTAATTTTGATCAGATGAGTTGGTGTAATGATCACTTCACATATACAGAGCTAGACAAAAATTGGGGATCTTGCTAAAATTTGAGCTTGGTGAAGTCGTTAGCTCTTCGGAGTAGGTTTTGTTACAAAAGTGTACGTAGTTTTCTGAAAATGCAACTTTTGGTTTGGAGGTGCGTGACCATGGAAACGAAGGTGCCAATGGGAATATTTATTTATTTATTTATTATTCTTTATTTAAAAGAGAGGATCAATAGTTGTTCTACACTTACCCCGTATGATTCAAACTCGAGACCTATTGATTCCAAGTGAAGAGTGCTACCAACCGAGATACCCCTTCTCGTCAATGGGGATATTTATTTGCGAAACATATATCTGCGCCCTTTTGTGATGACGAATTTTTTCTTCTCATGCTATTCAATCCATTAAAGTTGTGGTTCATTAGTTGGTCATGACTCATCACCGGTTTAATTAACTTTTGTGATTCTTCAATACATACATTTAAATCATGGTTAGGCACATTAGCATTTTGCATTGACAGATTTAACTGTACATTTGTTTTTAATGATATCATGGTTTGGTAGATTAGCATATTATATGAGAGTGATGCATTAAATATGACTTCCACGGGGTAAGTTTGTGTCAAAGCAATGAAAAATTGTTAATACATGTGAAAGAAATCTAAGATATATAAATTATAGGGAAATGTTTTACGGAACCATTTCGTCAGAGTTTATAACCATTAAATCATCATGTAACCATTAGAGATAGTTGATCAAACGGTACAAATTCTGTCCATTCCGACAGAATGGTTCCGTAACAGAACATCTTCCTAAATTATAATTAATAAAAGAATAAAAAGGAAGAAGAAATAAGGAGAAATTGCAACTGAAAATGGGGCGCATTAGCCGGGTTCCCGCACAAAGACAAATGGACTACATTTTAGAAAGCCAGTCAAAGCCTAGAGCAACATATATAGCATTTAATTATTCCAAATTCTCATCTTTAAAATACATTTTCCTCTTCCCTTTTTGAGTCCTCTGCTCCTCCAAAACAACAGCAGAGGGTTAATAATAATAATAATAATAATAAAAAAGAGAGAGAAAATATCATTATTTAAGATATATTTTTCATTTAATCGTGTTCTTCCTTGCATATATATTCTTGAACGAACAACGTTTTTTTGAGGTATTTTTTTTTCTTAGAATTATTAATTCTCTAAATCAAATTTCTTGTATGATTTTTTTTTTTTT